TTTCAAAATTTTTTTTTCTTTTATAATTCAACTATAGTTCTGATTTTCAGGCTGACTGCAAGCCGGTGCAGAGCGCGTTTAGTGCTCGAGCTGGCCTCAGTCAGATTCCACCTGCAGTGGCACCGTCGTTCGGCACTCTGTTGAATCCGGCAGTGATGGCGGCACAGATCGGTCTTCTCAGCTCTCCGAACACTCTGCTTTCCATGATGCAGGTAAGAGTCGAGAAAAAAAAAAGCAGGATATTTTTATTATATTTTTTAGTTGTTTAATGATTTTTCAATAAATTTTTTGAGGTATAATAATCAACTAAATTGATAACATTAATATAAGATTTTTTATATCATTTTTTTTTCTTTTGAAAATGAAAACAGCAACAAGTGGTAAAGCAACAACAAAAATTTTTCCTTAATAATATTTTCTTTTTTATTTTTTTATTATTTGAAGCAATGTTTATCTATTTGTGTTGCGAAAAATATGACAGAGTATACCATTTTTATCGTGTGAACAGAAAAAAAAAAAAAAAAATGAAAATAAGAAACAACAAAGAAAAATATAACTGTTTTTTTTTCCTTTCCAACAAATTTTTGTTGATCCGCTGTCGTACAAATCTTTTTTGAAGTACTGTTATTGATCATTGATAATAATAATAATAATAATAATAATAATAATAATAATTAATAATAATAATAATAATAATAATAATAATAATAATATAATAATAATAATAATAATAATAATAATAATAATAATAAGACAATAATAATAAATTAATTTTGAGATTTTTCGGAATCAGTAATAATAATAATAATAATAATAATAATAATAATAATAAGAAGATGATCATTAAACATATTATCAAAACAAATAGTATTTAGGGATTGCCAGGATTTTAGCATATTTCTATGTATCAAAATGGTGTTTTTGTGCGTTTGTATGTAATGTCTGTAGGTGTCTGTCTGTGTGTGTGTCTGTATGTCCGTGTGTCTGTGTGTTTTTGTCTGTGTCTATTTAGCTGAGTTTGTATGTATTTTATAAATGTGCTATTTAATGTATATATATATATATATATATATATATATATAT